CTGTTTTTCTATATTTTTATTATAAAAACTCTTTTTCTTTTGGCATTCTCACATCTCTGCTTATGAAAACCTCACTCACCCACTGCCCCAGTCCTGCCCTGTGCCCACCCTGCCCGGTGCCCCCCCAGCACCTGGGGGCAGAGCGACCAGAGACCAATATTTACAGATGCTGCCAGGGACTGGGGGGGCAGAGGACACTCCTATGCCCACCTGTGGCTGATTTAAGGGCATCCCACCTGCTCCTTTCTCCTCAGGAGGGAGGGCAGGGGGCTGGGGGTGTCCTGGGAGGGGCAGGAGGGGCAGTGGCAGAGCCGGGGGCACAGGGGACCCGTGGCACAGTATTTACAGGAGGTCCCCCTGGGCACACACTCACACACAGCCACACACGCACACGAGGGGGTGTCACCCACGGGACGGACACAGCCGCGCGGGGAGGGGGGACATGCCGGCCGGGGGTCCCCGCCGGCCCCTTTGGCACACACGGCACTGGGAAGCGGGCGGGAGGGACGGGGGCTGCCTTCATCTGAGCCGGAGAGTTCCTGGAGGACCGGGGGGCACACCGGGGAGAAGGTGCCAGGCCGTGTGCCCGGCGCCGGCGGTGCCACCGCAGCCGCGCCCCCGGGTGACACCGGCACCGGGCGTGTCCCCCCACAGCCCCTGGGCACACGAGAGCGGAACACACGCAGGAACCCAACCCAATAAATTAGAGGTGGGGTGGGAAGGGGGCGTGGGGAGGGTCAGAGCCCGTTGGGGGAGCGCTGGATGAACGGCACTTTGCTGAGCTCCACCACGGGCGAGCGCGGCTTGTTCTGCATGCGGGGCACCCGCTGCAGCAGCTGCTGCGCCTGGCGCTGCGCGTCCCGCAGCTCCTTCCGCCACTGCACCAGCTCGGGGTCGCTCTGCGGGGCGGGAAACTGGGTCAGGAGGGCGGACAGGGCAGGGCACAGGGAGGTTGGGCCTCCCCACGCTGCCAGGGCTGTGGGGTCGCCCCTTGTTTTCAGTATTGATGCCCTGGCCTGGCTTGAAGGACTAAACATGCAAGTGGGAAGCAAGAGGCGGCTAGCAGCCAGCAGGGGGGATGGCTAGCAGGCAGCAGGAGGTGGCCAGCAGCCAGGGGGGACACTCACATCGCACTGCAGCACGAACTGCTTGCCCCCGCGGATGCGGAGCAGGATGCACTTGCGCTCCTTCACCTGCGTCTCCTCCACCGAGTCGATCTCCTCCATGGTGAGCAGGGACTGCTGTGGGGACAGGCTCAGCCCGGTCCCCGAGCCCTCACCGGGGTCCCCCCAGCCCTCACCCCCCGCTGCCGGGCCCTCCTTACCGGGGACTCGCCCTCCCCGCGCCACTCCAGGCGGTTGGGGAAGAGGTAGAAGTAGCGGCGCTGCCACTGCGTCAGGAAGGGGTTGCCCAGCTTGGCCATGTAGCCGTGCATGATGCAGTCCTTGCCCATGGCGTACTCTGGGACCACAGGGAGGCGGGATCAGCACCCGGGCTGTGGCCAGGGGTGGCTCAGGGTGGAGGTCCCTGGCCCCACTCACCCTCCTCGTGGCCCAGCTGCTTGTTCTTGGCCTTCTTGCGAGCCTCCAGCTTGTCGGTGTCGGCGTTGACGGCGTCAAAGACGGTCTCGGTGACCTCCTGCTGCCAGCGCTCCGAGATGGTGAGCGGGAAGTTGCGGTACAGCTCCTGGTCGCTCTCCAGCAGCTGGGCAGGGTGGGATGTTGGGGTGGGGGGCTGCAGGGATGCCCCACGCCCCCACACTCGGCCTCTGTGCCTGGTACCTTGATGCCCTTGGTGTCCTCCTCGTCAAAAGAGCCGATGTCGAAGGCGTCGGCTGCGTTCACCTCGCCGCGGGGCGGGACGAGGGGTGGCGGGTACTGCGGGCAGCAGTGGGGGTCAGAGGGGTGACTGCCCACATCTGTGTCCTCGTCCCTGTCTCCAGGCATGGGCACACACCCCTCACCTTCTGCAGGAACACCATCTGCCAGTCCAGGCCCTTGAAGAAGGGCTCTTCCTTCACCTCCTGCGCCCTGTGGAAGGAGGAGGGCGGGTGAGCGTGGCTGCAGGGGAGACTGTGCCAGCACACCTTGTCCCGTCCCCTGAGGGCCTCGGGGACACTCACCCCCGCCCCATGCAGCCCAGGCGCCGGTTGACATCCCGCTGCAGCAGCCCCTCGAGCAGCGAGCGCAGCTCCGGGGAGAAGGAGTCCGGCAGCTCCACGGCCTGTGGGAGATTCCATGAGCACGCTGGTGAGCGGGACAAGGACACACACTGACACACAGATGGGCACAGACATGTGTTCCAGGCAAAGACCAGCTGTCCCTGACCCCCTGCGTGCCTCTCAGAACCAGGGTGTCCACGCCTTGCCCATGGCTCCCTCAGTGCCCCCGCTCACCATGGTGAGGGTCATCCGGTCAATCTCGTGCTTGTCCTTCGTCTTGTGCTGCCGGAACGGGCTGTGCCTGCGGCGTGGAGGTTCAGGAGGCTCAGCGGTGCCCAGCTGTGCCCAGCTGTGCCCAGCTGAGCCCACACTCACCCCCGGAGCAGCTTGAAGAGCATGCAGCCCAGCGAGAACCAGTCGGCGCTGCTGTCGTAGGCCACCCCCTTCTGCAGCACCTCCGGCGCCATGTACCCGTGGGTGCCCCTGGGGAGGGGGCACAGGGGGGTCAGGGGCCGCCCCGGGAGGGGGGCAGGGCGGGCAGGGGTGTGGGCACACTCACACGCTGGCGTGGGGCTTCTTCTTGGAGAAGTCGCAGGCCAGGCCCAGGTCAGAGATGCGGACGTGGCCAAACTCGTCCAGGAGGATGTTTGCTGGCTGTGGAGACACCGGGAGACATGCTGAGCCCCAGAGTGGCCCATGGCTATGGGGTGGCAAGATGGGAGGCTCTGTGGGATTTGGGGGTGTCTGAGTGCCCCGGAAATCTCAGGGCGCCCATGGATTTTGCTGTTGGGGTGTCCATTAGACCTGAGGGTGCCCTCTGGCCTGGGTGAGTGCCCACAGCGTTCTGAGGGCTCCCGCAGGCTCTGTGACACCTGTGGGTGCCCACGGGGTGGTGGAGGGGTTTCTAAAGGCCTGGGGATGTCCTGCGGGCGGGGACGGTCACCTTGAGGTCACGGTACACCACAAAGCGGCTGTGCATGTGCTCCAGGCCCAGAATGATCTCGGCTGCGTAGAACCTCATCTCTGCCTCTGAGAAGACGCCGTGCTGGGACAGGTGATAGTGCAGGTCCCCCCCTGTGGGGA